AATCGCTTCCCAAAAAACTCGGTGGCTAGACGTCTTATCTGTAGAGTACTGCCAAATAAATCTAGAACAAAGGTTGTCAATCTCTTTGAGCACAAATTTAGGTAAGACAAAAACATGCTCCAAGACTTCACCCTTCCATAAATTATGGACGTAATCAGCTGAATTTTACCGGATGCTGAAAGGAAATGGTTCGACCAACTCGTCAACTTTGCTCGGATCTTGTCAAGGAGTGGTGCAAAGTCAGCCTTAGCTAGCCGTACCGGGCTTAGTGGAACACCAAAGTACCTTACCGGGAGAGTTCCCAAACCAATACCAACAGCAGATGCTAAACCCTCTTTTTTAGTGATGTTCATGCCCGAAAAAATAGCTCACACTTCTCCGAGCTGATAATCAATCCAGACATTTCCCCGAATAAGTGAAGCGTGTCTTTAACCTTCAACAAAGAAGCTAACTCACCCTGCGTGAATATCATTATGTCATCTGCAAATGAAAGATGAGTTAACAATGGAGAGACTTCCGTATGTCGATCTTAGTCATAGCACATCTCCTTGTGGAGTTCCTATTATATTCCCGTATAAGTTCTGATGCCAAGAGTACATTTTCGATCATCAATCTTCCGGGTAAGAAAGCTATCTGGTTTGGAGATACCATTTCCAGCACTACTAACCTCAATCTTTGGGCTAGAAGTTTTGAGATGATCTTGTAAATGGTGTTGCAGCAACTTATGGGTCTGAAATCCCCTAGTTGAGTGCCCCCTTGCTTCTTTGGAATTAACGTTATTGAAGTCGTATTCACCTGCCCGAACAACTTCCCCGTAGTAAAAAAATCTTAGACTGCTTTGATAACATGATCACCACCTATAATATCCCAACTCTCTGTGAAAAACTCTTTAGGATAACCGTCGAGCCCTGGAGCTTTGTTGGCCGGTAAGGAGAACAAAACCCTCTTGATGTCCGCTTCAGATGGTACAGTGTCTAGCTCCTTTGCACGCTCCTCGGAATATCTATACGGGATCAAATCCTGCAGCCATGTCATTGTTGGTGTTGTCACCCGAGGATCCCTTACCCCCAGTAGATCGGAGTAAAAGGCTACAACATGCTCTTGGATCTCAATCTTCGTTGTTAGCTTGTTCCCTCTTGCATCCTCCAAGTAATGCACATGGTTCCTTGCTGCTCTGGTTGCTGCACATCTGTGGAAAAAGGCCGTATTTATGTCTCCAAGTCGCAGCCAATTGATCCTAGACTTTTGTTTATAAAACCGCTCCTCTGCTGATGCAAGTACCAAATACTGTCGGCGTTGTTCTTTCTCTTCCTCCATCAAATTCGGCGATGGGGCACAGCTAGGATGCGTTCCTGAATGTTGGATAGGCTTTCCTTTACCGTCTGGACTCTCTGCGAGAGCTTGGAGAATTGCCTTCGATTGAGGCCTCAGAGGGGTTGTTTCATTAGCTTCAGGGAGCGATTCAGTTGGTATTGGGGCGATCCCATAATTTCAGATGTCCGCCAGTTATGCCTAGGAACTCAGGAAGCAATGATAAGTGGTGAAAAAATTTGAAAGGTTTGATCACCTTACATTGATTATCTGAGAAGTGAACGATGCAAGGTGCATGATCCGAGTGTCCCGGGGCTGTGAATTTCGCATAAGCTGTGTGGAAAAGTTTCAACCATTTGGTATTAGCCATAGCCCGATCTAGCTTGATAGAGAGGGGGTCCGCTAGCTGTGTGGTTATTACACCAAGTGAAGGCTAAGCCTCGATAGGGAATATCCGAGACGTCGGCCTGCTCCATGCAGTCACGTAGCTCGTGCATCCCTTGGTGGTGGCTCATAGCAGTGGGAAAGTCTGAGCGTTCCATCGGCGTAAGGGCTTGATTAAAATCACCCAGCACTATCCACGAGGATTGTTGTACTGGCTGATAGCATCCTAGTCGTATCAACTCTTCCCATAGACTCCTTCTTTCACTCACTGATGTGGAGACATACACAAAAGTAGCTGTGACCCTGATCTGGCGTCGGTCATCTTCAATGTCGCATGTTACAGCCTGTTTGGAGTGGCTGTAAATCATGACACGCAGAGCCGCATCCCATACAATCCATATTCTTCCTGTGTTACAGTCCGTAAAAAAACATGCATGTTTCCTTCCCGCCGAAATAGAATTGGTGATCCTTTCCGTTAGGAGTGTCAAAAAAGCCCAAGGCCCGATACCCGGCCCGAATCCGCCCGTAAAAGTTACGAGCTTGGGCTTCACAAATCAAGGCCTGTTCGTTTTTCGGGCCGACCCAGAATATTATAGGCCAAAAGCGGGTTCGGACCGGGCTGGTCCGTCCCGTAAATATTCGGGTTTGTGTCGGGCTCGGGCCGGCCCGGCCCGGCCCGGCCCGGTCATTTTGACACCCCTACTTTCCGTATTCCTTTGATGAATATGTGTTTCCAAAAGAGCTCCTATCCTGAGCTTGTTCTCCAAAATCCACTTGCGCGTCAAAAAACCTTTGTTTGGGGCATTTATGCTCCTTATGTTCCAGGCAAAAATAATGGGTATCCCTGCACAGAAAAATTAATTCCCCCTTGTGGCCTTGCGGCCACGGAATTTTGGAGTAACCGTAATAAATCCATGGTCATCAGTATTAGACCGTTTGGATTGGTTTTTTGAGGAGGTGGCTCGTGCGGTAGTGTTTATGGGTGGCTTTTTGGGAAGTGGTTGGGCTAGTGTTTGGCAGCGGGTTTGAGTGTTTGGGTTGTTTACCGATAATATCCGGGGTTGGTTCCTTACCTGAGCCCACGACTGAGTCTGGAACATTAGGCTGGTGAGTCGACGGAGGAACTGCCAGTTCTTGCTCCCTTGTCTCAGCCTGCGGAGGGGCTGCTGGTGCCGACTCTATCTCACCCCGTTGTACAACAGCTAAAGTTGGCTTCGAGCTGTCAGTCAGCTGGACAGGTGCCACAGTCGGTGGGAGCTGGGGCAGTGATTGTGGTTGTGTCACAATTCCGAACACTTACTACAGTTCGGGGGTAGCCAGGTGTAAGAGATATCAATAATGTGCTCATGTCCCCCGAGAAGTGTCACCACCATATTCTTATGAGGAACTCGACGAAGATTCACCTCAATAAAAAGTTTAGCCACCGATACATTTTCCTTGGTTGATGTTGTATTGTCCAACTAAAGAGGGTTGTCGATGGCTGTTGCGATTCGGTTGAGGCTGTATGTGGTATAAAATTGGTGCAGCAAGTTTCGCAGGGAAACCCAAGTCGTTATTGATGATAGGACCGACTTCTCAGTTGTGTGATACGGATTCCATTTTGATACAAACATAGGGCACGCGCCCACATGCCATATAGCTCTGCTCAGAGCCAAATCTCTTGATCGACAGTTCGGTAATTTGAATAGGAATGTCCCATTCCCGACATCCTACACTTTTACTCTCGGCCCTCTGCGAGACCATATAGCGTTGGAGATACCAATGATCCGTCCCATAGAGGGGGAAGACCGTAGAACTGTCCAACGACAAAATCATCCCATTCAGTGACTGAGGCTTCTAGAGATTCAATCGGGATTTCTATGAGGGGGATTCCACTAGGGTGTGTTCTAGGGTTGCCTACTCTCTGACATACCCATATGCTGCCCTAGACTTTCTTGCTCCACGACTGCTTGGGGGTTGGCGTTGATGTCGTTCTTCTTCGGTTCAGAGAGATGAGTCTCCTATGGCTGGGTCTATTCCCGCAGGGGTTGCTACTACAGGGCTTGCTGTAGGAAGAGGGAGGTGTGAACCATCCACATGAGAGGATTCCAGTGCAGCTGACTTCGTCGGTGGAAGAAGAAAGATCGGAGAGAAAACCCGAGTTGGTACCTCGGTAACAGAATGGGTGGATGCTGGGATTTCCACCAGAGATGGTGACAGAGCAGCAGTAGGAGTAGACACCGCCGACGGAGTAGCAGTAGGAGGAGACGTCGTCGACGGAGCAACGGTCGGAGAAGACGTTGTCGAAGGAGTAGCGGTCGAAGAAGACACAGCCGACGATAGGGGTGGGCGAACGGTCGGTTAGGGGTTAATTGGTTATGGTTATTTCGGGTTTAGTTATTTCGGGTTATTAAAACTCATAACCAAACGGTTAATTAATTTTATTCGGTTCGGTTCGGTTCGTTTCATTTCGGTTCGTTTCAGTTTTGTCTATTTAAAACTATAACCAAACTATAACCAAATAAAGATTTGGTTCGGTTATAATATTTAAAAAATCAATTCATTTATAATTAAAAAATATTCAAATAAAATATAATATAAAATATTATCATAATTATTTTAACATATAAAATAATAATATCTAAATTTATATTTTGATATAAAACTATTAAATAAATAAATATCGTTTTTTCTAATATTTATATCACACAAACTTTAAAAACAATAATAACAATGATAAAATGTATTTAAAATATAATAAAACAATGATTAAATCAAGAATATAAACATTCATATATGTATATAAATATATATAAATGAAGATATATAAACAATTCGGTTCGGTTTATAAAAATTTATAACCAAACGGTTAATAATTTTTAATCGGTTCGGTTCGGGTTTATAACCTATAAAGATCTTGATAGAGTTGATTGTAGAACGCAGAGACTGAGATCTTGATAGAGTTGATTGTAGAACGCAGAGACTGGCCGACGGATTGCATGTCAACTTTTCCATAACCAATGAGCTTCCCATATAGTCGATATACGGAGATAAATGAGGACGAAACGAGGCAAAATGAGAATTTCTTGTATGCGATTTTTTCTTATATAATTGAAATAAAGGGGCAGTCCGATGCACAAAACATCCCGATGAGTGGGGATCGAAGGAAGGGTATTATCGAGCTTTGGATATTTCACGGATTTGTTTGGATGAAGGCGGACGAGGGTGAAACGCGAGTGATGCCGAGATGAAAAAATTGGCAAGTCAAATAATGGGCTTTCAACAGAGAACTTTTGGGACGAAAAAGGGCCTTGGCGCTTGAGCTCTCTGTAATCCTCACTTGTCACTCTTCTTAGCAAATATGGTGAAGAAACAAGATCCCGGAGAGCAATTTCTGTACAGATATGGAGAGTGAAAGAAGCAAAAGAATGAAGAAGAAGAGGGAGAGTGAGGAAGCTACAGAAAGTCTTCAATGGCACGGCCTGATCCAACTTGTCTGTAAATCATGAGGGCTTCTTCCATGACATTGGCCTCAGCCAACAGCTGAGCCCTCCTCTTTCCCGACGGGTGGGTCGAGAGGAACTCAGTTAGTGGAGACGGGTCACCTGCTAGATTCCCGAGCTCCTCATACACCCCGGGAGCTACTCGTGGGTCGTAGCCCGCTGAGGCCAGCAGGAGCAACCCGATGTAATCTGCTTCTATCTCCATCCTGACAAATACCAAAGCACAATGCTTTTTGATTCAGAAAACTCATCAGTTTGATAGAATCTTTCGTCCTGTATCCGAAACACAAATAACTATGCCTGCTGAAAGTGAAAAGCAAACCCGAATCCAGTATGAGACGACTATATAACGTTTGATAGGATTGGAAGAAGGCGACGTACTTTCTGGAGAAAGGAAGCCTCAAGAAGAAAGCCGACATTGTGTTCGCAATATCGGGTATAACCAACTGATAGAGAACCAGCTGGAGGATCACAAACCATAAGTTCTTGGTAATTTCCTCGGCTATGTGTCTGGCAACAACATGACCAACCTAATTCAGTGAACGAAACACAGGAAAACATCATAAGAACAATCTCAGATCATGCTGACAGTTACCAACATTTCGTAGTCCTCCAATGTTCTATACCTCGTGTCCGATCACAGTGGCAATCTCGGAATCTGCCTCGAAATGATCGAGCAATCCAGTGAACAGCACAATCTTCCCAGAAGGCAAGCAAAATGCATTGACTACCGGCTTGTTAACCACAAGGACTTCCCAATTCAACCCTTCAAGGTGAGAAATCTTAGCTTGTGACCCTTTCTCTTTACCCTTCTTCCTCCATTGCTGAATCCATCTGTTATCCATAATTTTCCCTTCTTTACTCGCCGCCATTACAGTGCCCTTCACTGCCCTATCACTGTCCATAGAGCTACCATCATCATCCATGGATGCATACCCAATGTCACTCCACATACCCTCGTGGCTGAAACCTCTCTGCAACGCATCGATTATATCAGCAGCAATCAACCTAACCCTAATGCTATCAGGGTGAATCGCAGGGAGGATTTCCCCCTTGAACCCGGCTTTTATCTGCTGAAACTGAGCTTCCCCTATCCGTCTCTCCAACGATTTCGACAAGAGGACGAAATGTCTCCGATTCGTGCAAGGAACAGTCTCTAAATTCGCAAAATAAACGGTGATCAAAACCCCAGAAGACACGATCGCCACCGTCGATGCGGTCCGAGGGTTTCGGAACCACCGTCTCGGGCCGCGTGGCTTGAAGTGACGAACCTGGTAACGATCAACGTAGTAAAACCTCTTGGGATCGGTCAAGAAAGGGCTACAAGAACAAATGCCTAAACCTGTTCTGAGCAAAGAAATTGAAGAGAACCCAGAAAACTTAGCGGATGAAATCGAAGACCCGTGTCGATGAATCGGCGAGAAAGCGTTGGAGAACAGAGATTCCAGGAAAATCCTAGGAGGATGTGCACCGCTTCTAAGGGAGCTGAAGACGAGCTTAGTTTTTCGGTTCCAAGACATGCCGCCAAGAATTGAAACTCGAACGAGCAACTCGGAGACGGACGAAGATTTGAAGAATCGAACCTGTAAGAAGGGAAATTTCCAGAGAGAGAGGCAGGAAGGAAAAAGATGACGAAGAGACAGAGAGAGGATTCTTGTGGAAGTAATTATTCACGGTGACGGACATTCACAAATAACTAAAGTTTGTTTGCTTGATGATTTTGGTGCAAATGTCCTCTCACCAAATCAGAAAAAAATTTAAGAAACATTACGAAATATCAAAAAAAATTCTGCACATGCAGATCCACAGTTGAAGAAACGAGCAAGCAGCAAAACGGCTCGAATTGGAGATGAAACGGACGACCAATATATCCCAGAAAACGAGCATGCAACAAATGACCAACATAACAACTGTCAAAGACATTTATCCAGAAAACGAGCAATCCACGGCGTAGGAAGGGAAAGGAGAAGATCTGTTAGAAACTTAGGGTTTTATTAAATTAGGGGTAAATTTGTAATTTCTTTATTTTCGGATACCCGCGGGTAATTACCCGACCTACAATTCATTACCAGACCCAAACCCAAAATTCGGGTATTCTTAAAATTATTACCGATCTCATCTCATTCAGTGATCAGATCCCCTAATTTCGGGTATTCATTTCACAGGTCGGATCGGATATCCAAAATCCAGATTTTTTTTACCCAGCCCTAGTTTCGGGTATATGAAATAGGGTACATGGGCATTTCGATTCCGTTTTTGGAACCAAATAAAAAAAATTGGTATCAAAATCAAATTTCGTAGAATGGAACCGAACCGAATTTTTAAAAAATCCCCAAAACCGATTTTTTTAAGAAAATATAATTTTTTTAGTAAAATGAAAATCGAAACCGAAACCGAACCAAATGTAATATAATAATCGATTGATACACATTTTACATCGAATTGAATAATTTCCAAACCGAATCCTAACCAAATACCGAACTTAACAAAATTGATACTTGATACCAAAATTGAGTAACTGGAAGATAATTATACCGAGGTCATATATTATCTTTAAAATTTGAATATCCGGCTACATTGATTCGTTTTCAAATCAATTCTAGAAATTAAGTTATTACAACTAATACGAATATTTAAAAAATATGTAAAACCCGTGATGGAATCACGAGCATCAAAATCTAGACGACAGAAAACACAAAGCAAGAGATCAAATGGTGGAACTCAAATAGATGTCGTCATTACAACATGGCATGAAAATAGAAATACTTGAAATTGTTATATCAATTTTTTTTTTTTTAAAAAAAAAGAACAGGAAGAGATGGTAACTACTGTTTCTTGAGGAGGAGAGGACCGACATTGTCTCCCGTGGCTTTGTTGTGTTTCATATGGCTCCCATCACACAGTGGGAATGTCCCCGACCTCCAACACCTACGTTACAATGCCACCATCATCATCATCATCATAAGCGTCATTAACGAGAATTATCACACAGACCTGCAATAAGGAGTGATGTTCTTGGAGAGCTCGGTGACAACGACAGAGTCCACGACTTTCTCTTCGTTCTTCCTGATCTCGGGGTTTATTCCTCCGCCTTCTGCTCTCACCACCACCGACATTCTCCGCCGCCCCGCTTCGCCGGAGCCGACCCTCATCTCCGCTGGGCCTCCGCCGTAACAGACCCTCGCTCCGACAATGCTCCCGCTCATCGCCATTGAACTCTCTCTCAGGATTTGTTTTGGGTGTGTTTTGTGTGACGGGTGAGTTTTAGAAGAGAAGCTTGTGGAGGTCACGCTCTCGACCAAAGATGCGATACGACGTCCGAACTGTGTGTAGGAGACGGACGCCACGTCATACATACGTACGGAGGAGGAAATACACGGTGGGGATTTGTCGGGTCGGATTTTGGATCCGGCAATATCAGATGATTGTCCACGTGGCGCTTATTGGGTTCATGCTGTTTGGTCCAATAGGTTTAGTTTTAAATAAGTTGAAAAAAAACTCCATATAAATAATAAAAAGAAACAATTTTTGGTCACATAGGCGTGTGTGTATATATATAAGAGTGTGTGTAGATGATAAAACATATATGATTATCAAAAATTGGCCAACTCAACTATAATATCATCTCACAAATGGGCTAATGTGCCAACGAAACCAAACTAAACTAATCCCGAGAAGGGGAGAAATCTATATAAATGTCTTTTTTTTTTTTTAATTTAAGATTCGAATTCGACACAGGATAAACGTTAAACATCTCTATTTCACGGGTTTAAATACCCAAGTTTAGATTATTGTGACGAATGTTGCGGTTGCAATAAGGGCTACTTACCATGTGCGGTAAAAGGGTGAGAGTGTGGGATGGGAGAGAGGCCGAGGATGAACCAGAAGACTCGTACCAAGGCCGAGGAATGAACCGTGCACCGTTCCATAAGGTGAGTGAAAATACCCATACGCCATTTCAGTCATAAACATAATCTAACATTCTTTACGATCTTTTCTCAAGATTCTGACGTCGGAATTTCACGCCTAATTTGTTCACTCGAATTTCATTGTCTATCTTTACAAAAATATTTAAAAAAGTGAAAATTATTTGCGTCCGATATTTATTTATTTTGATTTTCTTTCTGTGTTTTGATTGTGTGAGACATTTCATTTCCCATATAGTTTTTGGTTCTCCATTCATCTAAGATGTTCTTTATCTAATCTTTTGTTTAAAATTACAATAGATATATCGTAAAATAATGACAGTTAAAAAAAATCGAATCAAATCGACTGAATTCACGGAATCGAATATAAATACCAAAAAAAAATCTTTAACCAAAAATATTAAATAATCCGACGGCAAAGAAATGGGAACTAATAATGTCTTTTAGACTTCAATTCGGAACAATTTCTTTTTTTTTTAAAAAAAAGAACCAAATTCGGAATTTGTTACGACAGTGACGAATCTGGAAAACCGAATCTAATTCCAAAGTCTGTTCACTTCGAATCTCACTTTCCATGTTTTCGAGACAAGAAACAGCCACGCTCTCTTTCGCTCCATCGGCTTTTCTTTTTATTTATTTATTTTTAATTTTCTTTTTGGCGATGGATTTAAGGTACCAATTTGCTTGGCTACAACGTAACACAGGGAGCCCCTTTCTCGCTCTCTCTCTCCGTCGCCGGAGCACCCAATTTCACGGCGGAGCCCTTTCTCGCTACGGCTGAGTCGCTGTCTCCGCCGTAATGAGGCTCGTGGTACCTCTCCAGGGCGTGGTTCAGGGCCGTGGAGGCTTCCTCCTCGGCTCGCTCATCCCTTGCTCTCTCTTCTACTTCCTCCAGCTCTACCTGAAACGACGCCGTGCTCATCCGCCGTCGTCTCGGCCCGATCTCTCCGTTCGGGTCTCCTCTCGGGCGGGTCCCGTGGCAAAGCCAAGCGATTCGCCTTACTACATAGGGTTGGAGACGGCCAAGAAGGATCCGTACGATCGTACGAGGAATCCCGACGGGATTATGCAGCTCGGGCTGTCGGAGAGCACGGTGAGTGTCGGAGTTTCCGATTCCGCTGTTCCTCACTTTGGATTTGTTTTGCGATTTTTGCCGATGGGTCGATTTTTTTTTTTTGTTGGTGCGAGTATCTGTAGCTGTGTTTCGACTTGCTCCAGAAATGGATGTCTGAGAATTTGATGGAGTCGATGATTCCAAATGGTGATGATGATCTCAGTATCAGTAAGATCGCCATGTATAAGCCTTTCGATGGCCTGATGGAACTGAAAGTGGTAAGTGTAGACAATTCATTTGCCCGAAATCTTCCAAGAATCTCGCACGATTTCTTGTTAACTGTTCTTCTTCTACTTGACATAACTTAGAATGATGTCCCTGATCTTGTTCTCTAGCTGTTTGTCAGCTCTCTCCGATTATGTCATGTTTAATATCTTTCTGGAATCGCCAGGCTATTGCAGGGTTCTTGTCTCGGATTATGGGAAATGTGTCATTTGATCCTGAAAGGATGGCGATAACTGCCGGTGCAAATCCTGCTGTCGAAATTCTGACCTTCTGCTTGGCAGATCATGGAAACGCCTTCCTCATTCCGACACCCTATTATCCCGGGTAAATCTTCGTTTTTTACCGTACCCTTTTCGAGATTACTTCAGATTAATCTGGGCCGAGACAGAGACTGAGAGAAATTAGATGTTCAGCTTCGACAGGGATATCAAATTCCGGACGGGAGTGGAGCTGATACCAGTCCATTGCCGCAGCTCTGATAATTTCACTTTAACCATATCTGTTCTCGATCAAGCGTTCAACCAAGCTAGACAACGGGGAAGGGACGTTCGTGGAATCATCTTCTCAAATCCCTCGAACCCTGTCGGGAACATAATGTCACGGGAGCTGCTCTACGATATCCTACGCTTCGCCCAAGAAAAGAACATCCATGTCATTTCTGACGAGATATTTGCAGGATCTGTCTACGGGGACCAAGAGTTTGTGAGCATGGCAGAGATTGCTGATTCGGGAGAGTTCGATAAGAGCAGGGTCCATATCATCTATAGCTTTTCAAAGGACCTTTCTATTCCGGGTTTCAGAGCTGGAATCGTCTATTCCCATCACGAAACCGTAGTAGCCGCTGCAAAGAAACTGACGAGATTTTCCTCCGTGCCCGTTCCAATCCAGAGGCTACTCGTCTCGATGCTCTCTGATTCAAGATTCATCGAGGAATACATTACTGCCCACAGGAAAAGGATAAGGGATAAGCATGATCGGTTTGTGGATGGTCTGAAACAGCTGGGAATTCCGTGTGCTGAGAGCGGTGGCGGGTTGTATTGTTGGGTCGATATGAGCAGTCTGCTTACTTCCCACAGTGAGGAAGGAGAGCTCGAGTTGTTCGAGAGGCTGCTAACTGTTGCTAAGATCAACGCAACTCCCGGGTCGGCCTGTTATTGTATAGAGCCGGGATGGTTCAGGTGTTGCTTTACCGCTTTAACCGATGACGAGATCCAAACGGTTATGGACCGTATCGAAAGGGTTGCTCGGTAGGAATTTAGATCCGGGGATCGAAAGAGAGAAGCTTGCAAGTTTCTGCATTCTATCTCGCTTCTATCTGTACATAGTCTGAATGGCAAGAGGCGGCATCTGGCAGCTTCGTTGTTTAGAAATTCCTGCAGGGAAGTGGTACTGTTTTCAGTCGCTTTGGTCTAAATTCACTTCAGTACTTAGTGGCAGATTCTCTGTGTTTTTTTAGCTTCAAAAAAGGTTAACAGAATACCGAAACGTCGACCCGTAACTGGGGGAGTCTACTTTGTCATTTCAATAGCTGAAAGAGCTTTCTCTAAGAAAGAATCCCTCCCCACAAGGTTGGAACTTGACGCAACTCGTTATATAACTGCTGGATACGCCGGTGATGTTGTTCCCATATGTCGGGAACTGGTGGTTGCTGTCTCTCTCATGCTTCCTCGTCATCATGTTTCAGACGTTTTTGTTCAACTCTTGTCTTGTGTTTCTTCAACGTTTGATTTGGTTTTTCTTCTTCTTGATTTATATTATTATGGGTTTGGATCTTTTAACTAGATAATAATTCCATGGCCAAATTCGGATGAAAGGAATGAATTTTCTTAAATATTCAGTATTTATATTTAGCAGAGGTTTATTTGTATAATATTTCATTCACAATTTCATAAAAGTTATATAAATACTGAAATTAATTAAGCGTGTATAAGCTTTTTCCATAATCAGTTTCCCTTCGTTTAATAACTTCTAGTGCACGTCATGCCGTCTGGGCCGTCATGGGTGGGCCCAGTCCGAAAGGGAAAAAACATTTCTTGCATATCACGCAAACGTAATCCAATCCCACGGAAACCCTAAAACTAAGTTCACTCCAGAAACCCTAACCCTAACCCTAACCCTATTGGAATCCAAACATCTCCCTAGATAAAACTAGAACCGGACAAGGACTTTTCCTTAAACTTCCTAAAACCAATCACAACGTGGTCTGGAATTTCACACGATCCCAACTGCTAAATCATCTATAAATAAACCATCCTCACAGTTCATAGCTCCGCAACGAAAATTTCACATAACCCAGCAAGAATCTCCCGCCCTTAATTTCATCCAAGAAGAAGAAGAAGAAGGTTTAGTTTTCGAAAACCGATTCAATGGATCCATTCAAGGCACTGGGTTCGCTATGCAAGAGAGGATGTGGGTTCTTCGGCACGGCCGAAAACAAAAACCTATGCTCCAAGTGCTACAACGAGAGCCTCAGAGAGAATATTCAGAAACACAAGGCCTTGCTGAGGTTCGAGCGCGAGACCGAGGAATCTCCGGCAATGGATTTCGGTCCGAACCCATCAGTTCCGGCGGATGAAACCGCCGGAAAACAGTCTCCCGCGCAGAGGTGCAAGGTGTGTAAGAGGAAGATAGGGCTTCTAGGGTTTGACTGCAGATGCGGCAACATGTTCTGCGGGTTACATCGACATGCGGAGGAGCACTCGTGTCCATTCGATTTCAAGGAATATGGTCGTCTCGCTTTGGCAAAGGAAAACCCTTTCGTCGGCTCCGACAAGTTGGATAGATTAATATAGTTGGTGACTTTGATCACTTTCCTATGAGATTTGTCTTTGGTTTTCTTCTTCCGGTTTCTGACATTGATATTACAGTTGCTTTCTTTTTGTTGTTCATTAATTCAATTGGAAATCTAATATGAATTACGTTAATTATCTCTTGCCTTATTAATTTACGTCATATATTTTTCTTTTAATTTCTTTACTTGTTTATTTGGCTAACTTTTGTATAAATATGGGATAGTTTTCATAGTAATACAACATGAACAAGAGTTACGATCCACTCTATGTTTTCTTTGTAATAAGTTATTGTAAAAATCTATAATCAAACTAAGTATTGCGACAAAAAAAATCAAAATAAAAAATTTCAAGATCAAACAAGATATTATAACAAAACGATATAAAGTTACAAGTTCAAGATCAATCGAAATATTTGAAATTGGATAATAGTATTCGATAAAAGAATCAAATTTGGTGCATACAAAATTTACTAAAATACAACGAATTCTGCGTTTTGTATCCTATAATCATTTCAAGATTTATTTTTGAATTCTTTCAAAATCAATCTTGATCCTTGACAGATAAAATTAAAATAATAAAATAAATTTAGATTTAGAAAATTTAGAATTGAAGAGATTATATTAACATTAAATATGATTGATATAAATTAGATATACGAATTCAATTAAAAAATCAAATATTATTTTGTATCAGCTATCTTTTTCTTTATTAATTTCTATCATTCCTTTTTTCTTTTAATTTCTTTTTTAGTTTATTTGTAGGAATAAATATGCTTGTTTTTAGTTAAAATTTCACAAATCACTTCTCTTTTTATATTTTCTTATTTTACTTCCACATCTTAGTTTTCAATAAACAATAAGATTTTTAATTATTTCACACTCTTGATAAAAAAAATATTTGATTACAAACCTTCAAAATATGGTTTTTTATCAATTTAATTTATTTTAATAAAAACTAAATTTGTTTCCAAAGAGATATTGGAAAACGATTTTTAAAGGGAAAGTATTTTGATCCTTTTAGTTAAAAGTTTACAAATCGTTTCAAATTTGAAGTGCATGTGAAGAATTGTGATCAGGTTTCTAAATGAATTGATTCAATCGAATATTCCATTAGGAGTAATTTATTTGTATCCAAACCTGAATTATAAAAGATAAAAGAAAATTAAATTGCTTATTAAATGATATCATCTTAGGTTTTAATGTTATATCTTGTATATCTATTTTTATACTTCTCGATAGTTTATTTCTTTTATTTCTCGTTATTTATATTTAGTATGTTTTTTCTATAAATAAAAAAGAAAAATTTTATCTCAAAATTTCAATGAGATAGCAAATATCTTGAAATCATGGTTTCTTTTCTGTTTTCCAATTTGTAGATCATTTATTTTTCATTTTTCAAAAAAAAAAATATTAAAAAATAAAGTGAACGAATACTTTCTTCCACATGAAAAGGGAGTGTGCTAAAAACCTAGGAAAACCTTAGTTGAAACTCTACGATATGAAAAAACAATTGAAAATAAAATTAAATTGTTTGGATTTGAATAAAAAAAAAAAGATAGATGATAAAAGAGACAACAAGGCAAATTAGATTGAAATAGAAATCTTATCTATTTTTCAAACGATTGAATCTTGGTTGGAATATTAAACTTTTGAACTTATATACCGATCAGAATTGTTATTATTATAATCGAATTAAACAATTTGACGAGCCATATATATATATATATATATATATATATATATATATATCCCTTTTAGTTTTATGATCATATTTTATACAAGAGACAACCATTATTGTATGTCTCTTTAGTTTTCTGCAAAAAAAGTAAAAAAAAAAATAGATAAGAGATACAATTATTTCTAATGCTCCTACAAAGTTGTAAGGAGGATATATTCTGAAATTTTTCACTTAGTATGCTTAATTTTTTTTATTAAAAGCCATATAATAACTAAAAAAACGTTTAACTTACACATCAACATTTTATTATTATTATATTCGTCAACATTAGAAAGTTCAGTTATAGCCATAAATTCCAGCAACTAATTGCCAAAATTCAAAAATTGATATGTAATGATTATTAGATACAAAAATAAAAACGTACTTTTTAAGTTTTTAAAACGAACTAGTTGCTCGGAATCTTATGATATCATAGATAAAATCATAATTAAAGGAGAATTAAAGTATAAGAGTTATAATTTTGGGTATATAATATTCTCGCCTTCGAGATATGATATGATATGATATATATATATATCCCATAGTTTCGTACAGCTCATAAGTTCACGATCTAGGGCTCGGGCTTCACGTAAATGTTCCCACCTTTTCGTCAATTGGAATAAAGTGGTGTCTTTCCCTTGCAATTTCTATTTGTAGCTTAGGAGGTCTTCCGAATTACTTCCAATTTTTAAAATTTGTAGTAACGACCAACTACGAGCTTTGATTAGTGTACAATTAAACAAATTAATGAGATTTAATTCAAAAATATTATCATTCAAAAATTAGTTAAATTCAACACTCTTAGTTCTCTAATTCCAAAAATATTATTTTAAAAAATTTAAAATTTCAATTTCTTCAACTATTCTAATTCTACAAGCTCAATTTTTTTTTAACTAAATAAACTAAAAAAGCTTAACCTTTAAACTAATATCCAAAACCCTTATAAATTACTCTCTCTTAACTCAAATGATTACTATTAGAAACCCCTATTATTCTAAACCCCAATTTATCCAAAGTTCAATTGCAATTATTTCCGTTAGATTGTTTTAACTGATCACATATAAAATTAATACAATTTCTAATAATTTTATATCAATTAATTTAAACAATTAAAATTATTTCCTTTACTGCTAATTTAATTTTTATTGTCTTGAGATCGGAATATTACAAAGGCAGAAAATACTCACTCGGTTCATTTCATACATTATTATATACACTAGGTAAGACCCGCGCGATGCGCGGTTTATTATTTGTATATATACTTAAAGTATTTATATATTTTAGTATAGAAATGATATTATAATAATTTGTTTGAGTTAGATTTATAAATTTAAATGTTTTTTATGTATATCATAAAGTAATATCATTTTATATTGATGGCTTTCATTAATATGCATTTTTGTTTTTGTACGTAGCTATATAACCTTATGCGTATTATTTATATATCTTGTGTTGTGATTATAAATGTAAGATATATGATTTTCAAACCAGGTGCAAAGGTACTAACACAATAAAACACATTTAAATTGGCAGATATAAAAAAAAAGAACATATCGTAACTAAAAAAGTATTGATGTTTCGATCTTATAATATTAAATCGCGTTGTTTTAAAACATAATTAAATCAATGATATAGTAATGATATCGCTTCGTCGATGAGGTATAAGTTCAATGGGGATGATATGTGGGGACGGTGTGCGGTACCATTGTTTTCCTCCGTTTGCGGTTGCTGAAAAAATTGTGGGTAGGTAATAAATTAAATCATTCATTAAATATGATTCATATAGTTTGTATCAATAATGGTATAGTGTATTTACCTTAGGCGGAAAGTTCTGATGACGTTGAGGTTTTCATCTATGTAAATTTTGGTAGACATTGATGTGCTAAGCGATACAACACCTGAGATATAGAATGTATTAGTAAGCTTAATATAAAAATGATCTTGGTACTTAAATATTAGACTGTAAGTATTTATGATTGTGTGAGTGTTTAATAATTACCGTCGATAATCTTTGGGTTTACACCAGTAATGACGATGATACTTTTTCGAATACTCAATCTGTGTATTTGTGACCGTAGTTGTGCGGCGAGATCATCCCATATGCAAAGCTTGACAATGTTGTTGATGTGTTGTATATGTCAAACTAATTATATTCAATTTATAAGACATTTTATCATGCACTGGAAATAAATGTTGGAAACTTACTCTTTCAATAATAACCGGAGGATTATTTTTTGCGTTGACGATGGCATATGTAAGTTTGGTCCTTGAACTGCAACCAAAACTCCAATGATATCTGCAACATGAGAGAATAGCTTGATTATAAACCTTTTGAGTTATTTCCATGGTGTGTTTGTTATATGATAACACGTACCTGGCAAATATTGTGTTTTGTTTGCCAATGCCACTAAATCAGTGTATAAACGTATTTGGAATTTCTCTTTGATAATATCACATGAGGTGGAGTAATGATCACATAGTCTATATTATACATAATGTCATTATTGATTAGATTAATCCCATCGTAGGAATGGACAAATCAACTCCAATCAGTGATATCAACCCATGCAAGTTTGGAAAACTCAAGACATCACAATCATGGATCTATCATGGTCAGATTTTTAAGGACGTGGGATGAAAGGAATCCTTTCAATGGAAATGAATATCGTGGCATCGGCTTCTTTTTAATTGACAAAAATGTACGTCTTCCTTACCTTTTTAAATAACATTATTATTATTAGTAATGTGATCTTCTCCATTAACAACATTGCAGGAGGATGTTGTTGAAGGAAAAATATTCCACGACCAGACAGACCAATTTAAACATATCATAAACGAGGAAGATATATTTGTTATCAGCCATTTCAAGCTTATACACAATAACAACAGATACAAGTTAACGGAGCATAAATTCCGTATTTATTTTACGGAATATACTATTGTTAAAATGGTTGATTCCACCTCATGTGATATTATCAAAGAGAAATTCCAAATACGTTTATACACTGATTTAGTGGCATTGGCAAACAAAACGCAATATTTGCCAGGTACGTGTTATCATATAACGAACAC